AAGACGACGAGCTCACCTCAAGGGCAGTTGTACAACTCATGAGATTGGTAGTGGAAGAAGGTCACGCCAAAATAAACTCTACAAGCTTGACTTGGGATTGGAGAAACAAATATGTAAAATATTTGAAGACTGGGAAACTACCCTCAGATCCAAAAGAATCGAGGACCTTGCGCACAAAGGCAACCCAATTCAGCTTGTCCGAAGACGGAACCTTGTTCAGAAGAATGTTCGATGGCCCACTAGCAATATGTCTGGGACAAGGAGATACCGAGTACGTTCTGAGGTAAATCCACGAGGCACCTGCGGAAATCTGAAAGTACAAGAGGGGGGGGGGTGAATTGTAGCCTTTCTAAATTTCTAGTCAACTACTCTTCAGACCTAGTCGACTTATGCGGAGACAGCCTGCACAGAATTGTTAGTTCTTTTGATTTAAACAAGTATTAATCACAATAAATAGTAAAGGAACAGAATATAATACAAGAGTGATAAAGTAAATGACACCAAGAATTTTATACTAGTTCGGAACCAATGTGGTATCCTAATCCAGTCCTCTTGGGTTGCAAGAGTGTTATATTTTAGAGCTCTTTGTAAATTGAATTGAGTACAACCTTTGTGATTTTCAGTGAACACCACCAACACTGACAGGGTTGATTTTCACTTGCTCACCAACAAGGACCCTTTGGTTTTCACTCGCTCACCAAAGAAACGAACAATGACACAACCTCTAGGGCACACTGCCTTTCTAATATTTTTCTGTCTTTTTTCTCTCTTTTGGGTACACAGTAAATCTACTAAAGTGAAATACAATGCTTGTTAAGAGTAGAATAAAGAACTTGTAGTTGGATAGACAATTGTATAGAAGACTGCGTACTTTTTTCCTTTGTAGATCTCCTTTTTATAGCCTTTCAACATCTTCTGCCTATTGCAAAACCCAAGTATATATAGAAAAGATTCTCTTAATCATTGTGAATGGATCTTCAAGAATATTTGTTTTCCTTTCTTGATTGAATCCTTCCTTAGTTGCTGATAGCAGTCAATTGATACTCCATATTTTGTCTTGATCATGTCCTTTTCTAATTTTATTTGCTTCCATAATAGCCATGACCGTATTTGAAAATGTCTTTTGAATTTGGACACTTTGTACTTCTTGCCTTCTGAGTGTGAGTCCATGACACCTGCTACTTTCTTGTAATTGCTCACAAAATCTTGCTTAACTGATTTTGTGGAGTACATGTTGATGTCATTTATTTCCTTGTGGATAATTTGACATTGGAACTTCCTTTGTTACATAGCTTCCTTTTGAACAAGTATTTATCATATCTTTGTACCCTCCAATATTCATTTATATAGTGTTCCTTCCGTAGAACCCCTCTTTCCTTTTGTTAATAAACTTTCTTGATTGGTGTAAAAGATTTGCTCCCTAAAATAAACCATGCTATCTTCTTCCATTAAAATATTTCCTTTTTGATAGTTCTCAATATATCTTTGACTCCTTTTTTTTATCTTGAAAAATAATATCTTTCCATAATATAGATTGTACCACATCCATAATATATTTTCTTTCCATAGAAAATATATTCTTCCTTGTAGTATCTTTTCCATATAGTATCTTCCTTCTATACAATAATAGATCTTCTCCATGATTTTAGCAACTTTCCTTTCAAGATGTTGAAAAGCTTTCCATCCATAATTTCCATACTTCAAATATTATTCCTTCTAGATTAAATCTGTAAAAATAATCTTCCTTGATAAATTCTTCACAAGATATTCTCTTTCCCATATTTGTATGGATCTTTACCAGCATCTTCTTTCTTGAATAAACCTGTACAAAAATAATATTACCACAAGTAAATGTTCTTTGATTTATATTGGTTTGTTATCATCAAAATTAATACCTGAAACCTTGAAGCTAACAAAATCATCCAGGTGCCGACTCATTGGTTCGAAAGGTAATCAGAGCCGGCTATAACTGGATCGACATGGAAAAAGACGCGAATGAGTTCATACAAAAATGTGATGAATACCAAAGACATGCTCCGATGATTCAACATCCCAGAGAGCTCCCGCATTCGGTCTTGTCACCATGGCCATTCATGAAGTGGGGAATGGACATCGTTGGCCCTCTTCCATGGGCACCCGGTAAGGCTCAATTTGTACTATTTATGACTGACTATTTTTATAAGTGGGTTGAAGCCCGCCCAAGTGCACGAGAAGGTTAGGGAGAAGGAAGTTATCAACTTCATTTGGTACCACATCATATGTCGGTTCAGAATACCATCCGAAATCGTATGTGCAACAGGAAATAATTTATCGACAGCAAAGTGACCAAGTTTCTCGAGGATCATAAGATCAAAAGGATCTTGTCAACACCTTATCACCCTAGTGGGAATAGACAAGCCGAGTCGACCAATAAAATCATACTCCAAAACCTCAAAAGAGGTTAACCGACGCCAAAGGAAAATGGAAGGAAATCCTACCTAAAGTCCTATGGGCATACCGTACGACCTCAAATCCAGTACCAGGGCTACCCTATTCTCGCTGGTTTACGGCGCCGAACCTCTAATATTAGTCGCAGTAGGTGAACCAAGTGTAAGATTCTGATATGCAACAAAGGAATCGAATGACGAGGCCATGAGTATGAGCCTGGAGCTATTAGATGAAATGCGTGAAGCCGCCCGCGTCTGGTTGGCCGCTCAAAAATAGCGGATCGAGAGGTATTACCATCGAAGGGCCAACCTTCAACACTTCAACATCGGGGACTTGGTATTAAAGAAGGTGACACACACCAAAAATACGAACGAAGTGAAGTTGGGGCTGAACTGGGAAGGGTCGTACCAAATTCTCGAAATCGGCAGAAAAGGATCGTACAAACTCGGGGCGATGAATGGTGAAAGGCTACTGAATAACTGGAACATAACTCACGTGAAGCGATACTACTGCTAATGTACGACCCCATTCTTTTCCTTTTTACTTATTTTTGAACTACTACTTGCAGGTAACTAACAAGAAGCGAAACGGATTTTTAGGTCTAAAAGCACACGTTGCACTCTTTTTCCCTTGAACCAGTTTTGTCTCAAATGGGTTTTCCAGCAAGGTTTATAACGAGGCAACAATGGATCGTACTAGCTTAAAATAGAAGGCAGGTCAAGAATCGGTGTTAAGGATTGCATCAATAGTATCTGAGGCTTCTCTCTATGATCAACCTCGAATACTGGGGGGCATTACTCTCGAATTTCGACTTTAGCAAGGAAAGAAACTTCGTGATGGAACGGTCTAGATAGGTAAGATTTATTGTAAGGGCCAAATGGTCAAACAAACCATGCCCACATAGATTGCTTGAACCCTAGCATAAAGCATATATGCATGTATAACTATTTTACACAAGAATAAAAAGAGGTCTCTCCCCTACGGATAAATATTCTGTGCTTTTAAAAAAAATCTTGCATTTCTCAAGAAATTTCCTACGTCCGATCCCCAAAAGTAATCGAGCCCAAGGTCCACCTTAATCTGAGTTCGAACAATCACTCTCACTCGAGAACTACCATTTGAAAACATATTCGGATGGTCCGGGCTATCGGAGCTCGGGGGCATAAGACATATCAGGCAACATCCTAATCTTAAAGGCCACGACCATCCCCACTCGGGGATTGTTATCCTAGGAAAGCCCGATAACTCAGGGCAACCTACTGGGCGACACCCAAACTAAAAAGGCCACTGCCAAATTAAAACAGCTCGGAGACATCCGAGGTCCCATAACAAAAACAAGGCCTTCAAAAAGAAAATTTTCATAACCGATTCTAAAGGCTACCCTCGGCAAACTATAATCTAAGTTACTTGCTTTGGGAGAAAGTTTCCGGTAACACCGATCCCCCAAGATGTCTTAAAATAGAATAGTGTAAAGGCAATGTTTGTTTGAACCTTCGAACATAACCTAATTATTTCATGCTAAGGCATTTCGATCTTTGTGAATACGAATAATAAAGCAAAAAGAAAAATTAGAAAGCTGTGAAAAGGAAAGAAAGCCTTATATATTTATCCAAAATTCTTTTTACAAGGGCCAAAAGGCCCCGATACAAAATTCTACAACGGCTAAAATGGCCTAAAAAACAAAAGACATAAATGTATAAGAGGATCCTAAGTGACCTAGTCTTCGTCGGGGGCCGCGTCATCACCTTTCGGATCCCCGTCACTTTTGGGCTCATCCGAATCATCAGACCCCTTGGAATCCTCCTCTTCGGGATAAGCTAGCTTTTGGGCCTTGGCTTCGGATACCTTGGCATACACAATTTCAGCCAACAGGTCAAAACCCCGAGCTTGAACTCTCTCAAGGGCCTCCATTCGGGATTGCCACTTCATATGCTCCACTATATTTCTCACTTGGTCCTGAGCCACTTCGGCATCGGCCTTATGCTGGGCCACCCTCTCATCAGCCTCGACCATGACCACATCAATCTCCGACTTGGCCGCCTCAAGTTCCTTGGCTAGATTTTCTTGGCCGGAAACTGACGAGCTCAGTTGAGAATACATCTCCTCGATCTTTTTAGCCTGTACCAAGGCCTCTTCATCACTGGACAGAGGCCTCATTTCAACATCTTTAGGAAGACCTGCAAAGGAAGAAAAAGTGAGACGGAGCGCGGCAAGAAAACTAAGTGTTATGCATTCAGCTGAGGAATCTCACCGTGGGAACGGGCCTCCCACCGGCCTTTCAAAAGTTCGCACCACGCGCGCTAGGAATAGGGATTCCGTGACACGATGCTCTCCACCCACTCCTTGAGTCGAGGAACTGCATCCGACATCCGAGCAACAGTTGTACCACAAAACATCGATAATAAAGTAGCAAAATAAAAACAATAAATGAAATCTTGAAGGCAAGGTTATACATACGTTTCATGTTCCATTTCTCGGGAAACGGCCTGTCCTCGGCAGGATTAAATCTGAGGTCTTCACTCGAATGAATTAGCCCAAGCAGACTCGGTCCCGATCCTCATCTATGCTCGAGAATGGGGCCTTACTGTCCCGACGGGCAAGTTTTATTAATTCCTTCAATAGAGTCGGGGACTGTACAAACACATGAGGTGATCGGTGGTAAAGAAACATCCCTCGATTTTGTTTATGAAGAAGCGGAGGAGAATCACTATCATCTAGAAAGAGAGATGAATTTGACTGAGGGTCACCTTGTACCTCTTACAAAAGGCGATAAAGACTGGCTCCAAGGGGCCCAAAATGAAGGGATAAGTGTAAACACTTAAAAAAACCTCCACGTGAGTAGTAATTGCTTCCTCGGGCGTAGGCACCACCACGTGCTTAACAACCCAGTTGCAATCCTCCTAGACCATGGAAAGGAGACTGTTGGTGATCGAGCATATATATCTCGAGACCGACTCGCACTGACCCGGTATCGAGGAGGTTTTCTCGACCTTGAAATCAGCACCGATCGGACACCCCACAGAAACGAACACCTTCAAGGGGGATCCAGTGTCATTTCCTTAGTAGCAGCAGACGAAACTTTTAGTCGGTCGCGAAGCAAGTTTCGTTTTGGGGAACGGACTTTGAGGTCTTCGCCATTTTTTTTGGAAATTTAAGGAAAAATAGGAAGTTAAAAGGATATGCTTGATAATTTTGGATAAAAAACATAAGTTTTTATAAAGCGATTTTAGAGTAATCAGAAAAGTGATGTTTGGGAATATTGAAATTTCTAAGGTACGAGGGCAGAAGTTTTGAAAGTAAAGTTTGAATGCGATAATTGGGGGTATTTATAGTTTCTTAGCGACTCTTTATATCTGGGAGTGGCCGACCTGGAACTGACAGGCATTTATTGCCATTAAGAATTGACTGACGAGACGCTTTGACTGTTTTGTCGTTCTGTCACAAAATATCGAGATCAGGATCGGAAGTTCATGTCGTTTCTCGTCGTCTACTCTCTGAAAATGAGGGGACTATCTGTATATGATCGAAGTCGAGCTCGACTACAACTTGGTAGATTTGGCTTAGAACGTGGCGACCACGGACTGGAGATTGACCTCGAGTCTCACCGAGCTAGAACCTGAGGTCGGAAGACCTGCCTTCGAGGAACGTTGAGTCCGGTATCGACCTTAGTCTAAATAACAAACGGAAGACCGAAATATCCGCAACCGGGCGGATATTACGGTAGGAATCTTAGCGCATATCGGCAACGAACCGGCAATTAGCAAATCAAGAGATTTTTACCTTTTATAGAAGTGTACCTAGAGTGGGACTCCTCTACTATATAAAGGAGGGGGTCTGATAATTCATTAGACACATTGTAACACGCATCCCAAAATAATATACTGTTATTACTAGTTCTTACTATCACATCATTCTGTTCCGGTATCGATTAAGGCATTTTTGACTCGAGGGTGACCAACCTTCAACGCCAAGATTGTTCAACTTGTGTGGTTTGCATTTACTTTTCTATCATTAATTTTAATAGAGATCTGATTTCTCAATTTGTATGAAATTAGATCACGTATCTTTAAAATCACGTATAAATTCAATTGTTATCCGATGTTAAGGGTAAACACAAGTAATCATCATAGAAATAATAGTAGAGACTCAGGCTAATAACATGATATAAGATATAAAGTAAGTGAAGAGAGTGAATATATATAGAGAAAGACAAAGTAATGTATTATTATTTTTTCAAAATGAAACAAATCATTACTCTCTATTTACAGAAGAAAGCAAGTTGTGTGTAACAAGCTGATTACAATTAATCCTTTCCAATTGCATGCAATCTATTTGCATGGGCTGCTTACAACCTACTTGTTTCATTGTAAGCCTCTCCAGAAAGAATGGACACACAATTTAATGTAGTCATAACAGCCCTTTTTATTTTAATCTCTTAAAATTCTAAATAAAAATCTTCACACCACGTGAAACCTGAAGATTCGATCGGTTAGGAACGACAAATATTAAAGTTGCGTAAGCGTGGCTCACCATTACAAATTTATAAATCTTCAACTCCCTATACTTTCTTCAATATATTTGGCCATACACCAAAACAAAATTTTAGATTAGTCCCCTTCCCTTTGCTCCGCTCGGTGCTATCTGATTGTCCCCTAGTTTATTAATATGAATTATTTTATACTATCAGGTAAAAGTTTCCAGGGACCCGGAGTCGCTACTCTTTAGGTGCGCACTAAGTAACCTGTTTGTGCTTACTGTACAATAACTCGCAACCTACACCGGAGATATAAACCACACTAGGCAAGCTTCAAAATACAACATATCATTTTTTTTATGAAGTGTTTATCTTTTGAATGTCATGATAACGTAAAAATCTTTGTGCTATCAGTGGGCATATGTAAGTTAAATAAGTTACTGTATGACCATATAACAGTGGAGTGAGGAAATCAGAAAGAAGAAAACCTGGCAAGCTAAGCAGACTTGGTTTTTGTGAACCTCTCAATCTTTCTTCAGATTCCCTTGGAAATCCAGACATCTTTCTTCGTTTCCATTTTCCTTGTACTATTACCCTTATGTTTCATAATAATCAAAGGGTACAACAAATATGCTAAGAGTAAGCAGAAATTGCCACCAGGGCCGAGGAAGCTCCCACTGATAGGGAACTTGCACCAACTGCTCTGCCTCGGATCATCTGAGTTCCAACCACATGTTGCTCTGAGTAAATTAGCAGCTAAGTACGGGCCTTTGATGCACCTAAAGCTCGGTCAACGTTTGGTTCTTGTAGTTTCATCTGCTGAAGTTTCCAGACAATTTTTCAAAACACATGATCTCACTTTCTCTAACCGGCCAGAGCTTTTCGTTGGGAAGATAATGATGTACGGTTTTTCTGATATGGCATTCGCTCCATACGGTGACTTCTGGAGACAGATGCGCAAAATTTGTAACTCGGAACTCCTTGGTCTGAAGAGGATCCACTCGTTTTTTCCCATGATGTTTGACGAGGTGCGCGATTTGGTTAAGTCAATTGCAGCTGCACAAGTAGGGAAACCCATTGACTTGAATGAAAGACTGAGTTTGTTGCAATTTGCTATCACTTGTAAAGCTGCTGTTGGTAGGACGGCATGTACAGATCAGGAGTCATTTTTAATGGTAATGAAAGAATTCGTAAGCTTCGCAGGAATATTCAGTGCAGCGGATCTTTTTCCTTCCTGGAAAATAGTTCAATTAATTAGTGGCCCAAAGCGAAAATTAACGAAAATGCATCAGAAGGCTTATGATATTGTTGAACAAATTATACGTGAACATGAATTGAAGAGATCAGGAACTGATGGTGATGGCAAGCAAATAGAGGAAGATATTGTGGATGTACTTCTTGGACTTAAGGAGAGCAAAGATTTTCCGATTCCTATCACTAGAAATGTTGTCAAAGCTACAGTGTTTGTAAGTAGTCTCTTCTTGTCTTAATTCTCACATTTTTTGTGTTACCACTCATTAATTCTTCTCCTTTAATCGCAAGTCTATTGGACAGAATAAATAACTTATGTGTATCAGGTTTGTACTACAATTTGTTAGATTTAGCTGAGAGCCGTTGATTGCTTAAGTAGGAGGGCAATAAAATAAAGAGAAATAATATTGTTTTATATTTCCGTTTGTGGATTTTGAATCTATAACCATTGGTTTATCATAAGGGTGTCTAACGGGTGGGCCGGGCTGGGTAGGGAAAATTTTGAACCGTACAGGTTTGGAACCAGACTGGTTACGGGTTAGGGGTTACCGGGCTTAACGGGTTCGGGTTCATCCGGGTAAAAATGAACCGTAAGGGTTATGGGTACAAGGGGTCAGGCGGGGCCGGGTTAGTTTTTTTTATTTTTTTGTAATTTGTATAACTATTGTAATTTATATTAATATAAAGTAAAATATAAAGAATACAATGAAGATGGAAAAAAAATTGCACTTATAAATTGCAAGTGCTACATTTATTTCAAAATTCAAACTTACAAATTGAAAGGTTTACAATTAACAATAAGTAAATTAAAGAAAAAAGAGTAAATTCAGAGGTTTTACATTGCCTTAGACTCTAAAACCTTAAAAAAAATTAAAAAATTGAAATCTAGCCTTTAAACCGGTCCGGTCCGGTCCGGGTCGGGCCGGTTAACCGGTTCTACATGGATTTTGGTTGACCGGGTTTGACCAGTCCGGTTAACTGGTAGGATTTAAGTAAACGAACCAACCCCCCTACCCCTTTAATCCAGCCCCACCTGACCCTCTTGTACCGGTCCGGGCCTGTTCCAGTTTTAACCGGTCTGGGCCGGTCCGGAAATGGACTGACCCGGCCCGTTAGACACACATAGTTTATCATGACCTATCATTGACGGAGTTGGTGGATTAGTTGGACTGTGACTTCCTGCAATTTACTGAGTATATATGGGTTTGGGCTCGACGAACTATTTTTACTTTATATTTCATATGTTATTATTGTTTAATCAAAAATGTGATTCTTTGGTCAAAGCTAAAGTCAAATAGAAATTCGGGCTACTGATAATCAGGAGACGAAAAAGAAATGATAGACTTTTTGAGAATGACAAATAAGCAGTAAATAGGTTTGTATTCCAATGTAATGTTTATGATATCCTCTGTCCTTACAAATGACGAGACCTCCTCTTTTTATAGTTGATACTAAGTAAAGGAGTAATACCTTAGTCTTAATGAGATAATTATGAGCAATAAATGACATTAAATAAGACGTTACACAATCATTCCTATTTAATACCAATTCTCTAACGTATTGGGTATTTAATATTGAATTTGGACTCCTTTTCATCATCATATCCATGTCTTCAATGCCTTCTGATCTCTTGGCTTTAAATGACCTAAATAGGTACGAAGCTTGTATTATTCGAATTGCCTCTCGTGCCTATTTAGCTTTTCTTTCCCCGTATCTGTTGTCACTCGTGCCTCTTAACTGATCATCATGTTTTGACCATTCTTCGTGTCATGTCACGTCACCTTCAATGTAAATTCAGTTTTTTCCCAATACAGATAGTCCCCCTCCCCCACTTTTTATTTATTTATCAATTAAATATCTGGGAAGTGGATCTTCACAAAAAGGGATTTTTTGCCGTAATTAATTCTATGACAGTACTGGCGCTTCAATTGTCCCTTCTAATTAATGTTTTGCATATGTGTCACCTTTTATTTAATTCTCTACACACGTGTCACTTTCTGATTGGTTCTGCAATTCTGCACCCTTTTTTCAAGGCTTCTTTATTCCCACTATTCACGAAGTGATAGTTGCCTTTATTATAGGCTTTCCGTCATTACACTTCTAAGTTTGACGGTTGTCATTATAAACATATTTAGCCCTCTTTCTTTTGTCTTCTTCTTCATAGACCTTCAACAAGCAATTTATTATTCACTTTTGCTTTTTCTCCCCTTTAGTTCATCCTTCTTCAACAATGTCATCTCCAAACCCTAACCCTAGAAAAGTT